AAAGTGTGATTCGGTCGACAGTTCAGGAGAGGGGCCCCTTCTTCTTCTCCGTTTACTTAACGCACTTCATGCTCGAATGACTTGTGGGGGGGGGGGATATTTATTCAGTGAATGGTGCTAGTGGACATTTTAGTCCTGGGGTCGATCTAGATTTTTCTGTCACACACACACCTCCGCCAATAAAAACACTGGTATTATTCCTCCTGCAATATTAAGAAGGGTGTTATGGCTGCTTTGTCTTAAAATAACCCAATATTGTGGAAAAGTCGTATTAAATCCTTGACTCTACGAAAGATTTGCACTTTTGCACTTTTGCATAGCAAAAAGCCTTAAAGTTATCAAAAAATTTGCATCACTTTCGAGTTTGGTTTTCCTGCTAACAGAACCCGTTTCAAAAGGTGAATTGAATCGTTCACACTTCCTAAAATAATGAATCCAATTAAAAATAGTTGATTTGTGGAGAATGAACAAGTGTCAATGAAGCACACACAATTTGGGAGAAGGGGGGGTGGGAGGGGGGGGGAGAGAGAGGATGAGGAATGAGGCTGCGCCAACGGAGGGTTGACGGGTTTAAGCTCCTTGTTTGTCAGTATTACCTGTCAACTAGAACTACATAATAAGCAGATAGCGTTAGCCAGAGGATCTAATAAGGTAGTTGGCGACATCACGACCGTTCAATTCTGGCAACAGAAAGTCATGAGCAGGAAGAGGAAGCAGGCAGCGATAAAGTGAAGTATTAGGGCTCTTTTCTTAATTGAATTAGATTTCATTGCCAATTGCAATTCGATTGTGTCGTTGAGATAATAAAAATAATAATTTGTTTTCGCTAGCGTACTTTTTCAAATTGACGTCCAAACTGAAGCATTCAATTCCTGCCTCCATGGTGATTTTGGATGTCTTCATCAACAATTTACCGATTCGTCTGGTACACGGCATCTATCCGCTACTACTTGGAGTCTTCTATGGCCTCTTCACCTACATCTACTGGATCTCCGGAAGTGTGGGTTTCATTGGCAACGGAATCATTTACCCCATTCTGAATTGGAACAAACCTGGCTACGCTGTTGGAGCTTGCGTCGCAGTCTTGCTTTTCTGCGTCGTCATTCAGGTGAACTATCTGAACTACCATTTCAGCGGGGGGGGGGGGTACTAATGCAGGAATAGAATTGGGCCAAGATCAGATTTGATAAAACCATACTGAAGTGCAAAGTGGTGATAATTACTAATTAATTCCTGCCTAAACTACACGAAAGTATTTTTAATTGCCTTTCAAACTTTACAATTTCGGTTACTTTAATGAATAATTAAAGTGAAGAATTTAGGATACTTTCATGGAACTATATTTCTGTTAAACTTGAAGAGGAAATATGACGCTTTTGCTCAATGGAATGCAGATGTTGATATTGAGGGAAATTGGATGACAGGTTTGGAGAAGTTGTTGGCTATTCTCTGCATGAAGCGCATATTCATAATGGAACAAATAGGCGATTGAGTTATTACAAAAAGGCATGGATCACATAAATGATTTCGCTTTACGTGTTAATTGTGTGTTTTAGACCTTAAATATGCAATAAGAGTGCTACTGTGACGCTTGGAGTAAAAATGGCATTTTATTTTCAGTGCCTGTTGTATCTGCTGTACTTTTCGCGGACCTACCTTAGTTATCTGGCGGGTGGACGTGGAGTGGCCACCTTCCGCAATTTCTGTCCAGAGAGCACCGATGAAGACCAGCTGGTCAATCGTGAAGCCTCTGACCCTGAAACACGCTCCTGCGTGGAGCCTTCACCCAAATCCTACAATAGCCTCGAGTGATAACCTCCATCGCACACGTCTCACACCTCCATCGCTGCTTCTCACATCCGTGTGAAACAGTCTGTTGTTTGAATCTCTCACCTTCTCACATCGAATTTAAAATTTCCATTAATTTTAATAGAATATTACGTATCTAAAATACTCATTTTTTTGGGCTAAAGTTGATCCATTCTTCATTCGATCGTTGGTTGAGGATTGGAGGAATACAAAAAATTTCATTACTAATGCAGGCTGGCGGGTTTTCTTAATCCAAGAGTGGATTGTGAAAATAATGCAATTTAAAGCTTTAGAAATAATTCAATTATGTAGACAATGTGTCCATAACATCTGATCTGGATTGACGAAATACCCTCTGATTTTAAGTATTGTAATGCGATTGGAGAGTAAAGTATTTAGGTTGGACCCCAGAAATCTATTTTTTTGGAAAATGTAATTTTTAATTGGGTGCGATTAGAAAAGATAATTAACAAGTTGATGTCATCAGTGATTGGCCTCCATTGTCTGATGTTATTGGACAAACAATGGGAAAATATTTTTCAGAATTTTATAATGTTCCAACGCAAGAAGACTAATGGTTACCAAGTAGCCATTATATCTACAGCAAATGTTGCTGTGAGCATTAAATGCACTTCGGTTAGGGTTAGGGTCGAGGTGGAGTAGACCAAGTCGTCTAATGACCGCTCGTCTCCATTCAGAGTGAAATTGCAAGGAAAGCCTCCTCGATGCCTCTTCAAATGTGGAGGCAAAAACTTGATTAGAGTTCGGAAGTAAAAGAGCCACCGTTGCCTCTCTATGAATAGGCTTGCCGACCCTTAGTATAAGATCATTTGACACGTGGAAAGTGGATTCGTTGCTGAAGCCTCTCTACTACCAAGAAGGGAATTGGTTATGCCACTTTATCTATGGGATGAGTCCTCATTGTTCCACTGGAAAGCTAATAAATGGAATCGAAATCAAAAACAAAGGAATCCCAGTTTAATAAAAGACTATAATTAAAAGAATAAATTAAAATATTCGCCCCTAACACATTGAATCCCGCTTTCAATGAGGAAGTGATGGCAAAAGAAAAAAATCCACATTGAAAGAAAGTCGACCTCGTCTCTCACTCGCTTTCCCTCCATCCCA